GATGGCATGTGACGCCATAAATTGCTAAATTAAAAGGCTGAAAGGATATACAAAATGGTACCGGTATTGTTTTTTATGCCCACGGAATGGTTCACTCGTATTGTTTTTATGTGAATACATTTGCATCCGAATGACGTTCAAGTAATTAGCATATAAAGAGGACAAGGTGTTATAATCGTATTGCACAAAATGAGTAACAATTTATATCGTCCATTTATTCTATTATTCATCGACCGTGTTCAAAATTTGAAATACCTCCAAAAATGTTCCACTTTATAACAAAATTATATCCCTGAAAGCAAAATATTCAAAACTAACCATCGATAAACAAAAATTTACTCGAGGTAATAATTATTCTTGAGAGAAAATGCTAATTCAATGTTTAAATTATACTTCATGTTATATCGTCTTAATTATTTAAATAAATATTCCACCTATTCTAGTTTCTTTACCATTACATCATCACTATAAAATTGCAGATTCAGTAGAATTTAGAATATCTACTAATTGTTTCTGCTCCCAATGTAATAATTGAGGATCTAACCCACTTGTCTATAGCTTCAGCAATTTTTGAAATTTTCAATTCCTATCTTACAGGGGAACATTCAAATAATTCAAATTTTTAAATAATATGAGGAAAGAGTAAATATCCTCTAATAAACGAAATTTCCACACTGCTATAAAGTAAATATTTTTTAAATTACGTGTATTCAATTTATCAACCATTCAACTACATTATTTTTAACTCTATAATAAAAAAAGAACGTTCAATCGAGTGCGTAGTATTTGATCCATCGAAATTGGCCGTCGCAAAAGCGATGGTCTAGTAATCTAACGTTCCCCGAGGGTCGGCACGTCCAACAAATCGGTTAGCGGGCATAAATTGAAATGCTAAAAGCGAAATTGGGTAGGAATTAGGAAAAACGCGGCGAAATGGGACGATGATTACACGGAGGAAAGTTGGTGGCGGATGGCGAACGTCGGAGACGGTGGAAGGGTCGAAAGGGCGGTCGTCGGAGGTGGGCCCACTGACTGAAGTCTGAATTCTCTACCCCTCATCGGCCGGATTGCGCTGGCCATCCGAGTCTATGGTGGAACCGCGACTAGAACGAGGGTGGAGAAGAGGGTGAGGAGTCGAAGGGGGTTGAAATGGTGGGGTAGTCGCGTCTTACCGTACCAAAAGGGGAGAAACGTTGCGAGGAAAGGGAATGGTTACGGGGTTGCGATGGTGGAGGGTGTTCCGAGTGCCGCGTAAATAACTTCCATCTTCGAGGGTGCAACCACCCCATCGGGAGGGATGGACTTCGAACAGAACGGTGAGAGAAAGAGAGAAAGTGAAAAAGTGAAAAATAAAAAGAAGGTCCAACGGGGGTAAAGAGGGAGTCTGTAACAGGGTGGTGATTCCGTTGGAAGAGAGAGACGTAAAATATTCTTAATGAGCAAAGACTTTCAAGTATTGACTCAAAATGGCGGCCGTCCTTTCAAGTCGGCTTGTTAAGCATTATTCCGCGCCCTGCCGCCCCTTTCCTCGTTACCCTTCGCTTTGTACAAATTCTTTTCCACCCTCCTCCTCTTCCTTCTTCGCGTGCACAGCTTACTTAGCGTGCCAGTATCCTATGCAAGGACACTAATCCAGCTTCTTCTTACCGTGCCTCTTTTTCACGATGTATAGTTGCAAACAAGAGAAAGAAAAATACTACAAAGAAATGACCAGAACCTAATGCCAATGCTAGTCTCGCCGATCTTTTTGTGCTCTTTATTAGGTCGAAAGAGACAAATAACTATCCCTTCGTTTTTTTTCACCTGTATCAAAGGAAAGGACCAATGAACTTCTCTCTACAATGGAATACTTTGTTTTTGTAAAATATTTATATAAATTGAATAAATCACAGAACTAGAAAGAAAAAGAACTATTCGACTTTTATTTGCACTCACAAGTTCAAAGGGTTGAATTAAATGAATAAATATACATTTATAGATATTGTTCATTCCAAAAATAATCTAGTGTTTATTTAAAATCTAAGTAGTGCGTAAGAAGATATCGAAGATTGAAAATAAGTCCCTGTTGCAAATACACCTAATCCGAAATCGAAATATTTCCCCGAGGGATCTAAGGAATTCGCAAACACACGATTCCCAATTCTCCCAAGTGAAAAGTAAGTCGACCGAAAGTCGAAAAATTCTTTAAGACGCTTTTCCCCAAGGATGAAGGCTATCGAGGCTTTTACAAAAAACGCTTTCGTACGAATGAGTCGAGGAGTGGATTATTTAAGGGAGAAGTCCAGGAAGCTTGGATGCGCTGCTCGAGACTTGTTAGAAGTTGGCTTTCGCTTTGAACCTTCATACACCGCTCGCACACTTCGCAGGGGGGTAGCGGAATAAGGGTTAAAAATGTATAAGATAAGACAGAGAGCTGTCTATGGGTGAAGAAAGAGAAAAAGAGAGCCAATAGCTTCGGGGCAAAGGAGACAGTAAAATGAAGGAGAACGTGAAACCGAGACAGACAGAACTTTCATTATTGATCAAAGAAACTGAGTGTCGCTTCCCTCCTCAAAAGCTCGTTCTATTCAACTTGCCTTCGGCTTTCCATTAAAAATACCACTGGCGTCATCCGCTTTTTGCGACGTCGACGCGATCTCGTCTTTCGATATCGTCCTATGTCTTCCTTTCATGCTTATTTGTTGCTCACAACGGATCATTATAAATGCTCGAATTTTCTCATCCATTTCATTACAACTATAAAATGTTTTACGGTTATTATTTAATTTTCTTCATTATTACTTAGGGTTATTATCAATGAAAACATGGAGGAAGTGTCTATGAATCAAATAAAAACTTTGATGACGATGCAATTGGATCATTTTGCTTTAGCAAGTAATAGAGCTTCATTAATCGATTCATGAAAGTAACTTATGTATGCTATAAACCTAATATGCTTTTATTAACCCTTAAACAGCCAACGACTGAGACGATGATGATTTAAATTTAATTTTATATTATACTTAACTTCGAGTTCTTTATAGTATAAACTTCTTTTAATATTATTTCTTAACTTTAATTAATATAGTTTAATTTCAAGTACTTCTATTATTCAATATATTTTAAAAAATAGTTAAAGTGTACATGTAGATAATAGAGTAGAATATTCAAGCAGTGCACTCTATCACCTGAATGTAAAAAACCCGTGACTACAAACAATAACATGCTTTGTCCATTGTCCACGCTCCAGTCTAAAAAGACTGGACATGCTTTTGTTTTCGAGGGGTTATGATTTAAGGGGTCCCAGACACCCCCAGATGAGATTAGGTCTGCATGCAGAGAGAACAGCCTGTATGACAATCTTGCGTGTTTTACCAGTCCCTTCTTTACCACACCTCGCACAAATTATGGAAAACGCACAATTTCTACCCGCTCTGACTCCATTTTTTATAAATTAATTAAAACAAATAAACTATACACATTATTAAAATACTTGTAACATAATCTTGTATTCGCTTCATGCGTCTTGGCAAATAAATCGTTTTAAAAAAGCAACTGAGTTATTATTTAATTTACCCAATTACTAGAGGGCCAAAACTTATGAAAAATATGGTTCCTTATTGTACTGTTAGAGGGCGCTGATTCGACATTTGAAATTTAGTTGACATTTTTACCGCTAGAGGGCCTAAAACTAAGTAAAGATTAGTTTCTGTTTTTACCGCCAGAGGGCACTGATTCGACATTTGAAATTTAGTTGACATTTTTGCCGCTAGGGGGCCTAAAACTAAGCAGCTATTAGTTCCTTTTTCTGTCGCCAGAGGGCGCTAATTCGACATTTGAAATTTAGTTGACATTTTTGCCGCTAGAGGGCCTAAAACTAAGCATCGATTAGTTCCTTTTTCTGTCGCCAGAGGGCGCTGATTCGCCATTTGAAATTTAGTTGACATTTTTGCCGCTAGGGGGCAAAATATTTTGTAAATTTTTTTTTTTTACGTGGGGAAATCTTGCATAAGACCCCCCACCGACCCCTGTGGGAGGGCGGCGGGGGAGTGTCAGATTCTTACTGACTAAAACTCCACGGCAATCGGAACTGGCGCTAAAGGAGGGCTCTAGGATCTTATATGTCTTACTCCGGAGCCCTCCACACCTGGCACATAAGTGCCCATCTCGGGTGCCCATAATATGGCCGATATCGGGGGTCGCAGCCGCTGCCACCCGCTCCTTAGACCGCTCCTTAGATAGAGTCTCATTACGCTGCAAATCTGATACCTTCATCTATAAATTAGTCGCATCAAAGAGAAGGTGTAATGCAGTTTCATTTTCGACCTTAGCGCCATCTATACAAAAACGGCGGAAACTACTTCACGACTTATCGATCGATCCCTTGGAAGTTGGCACATTACCGACTTATCGATCGATTCGCCGACAGTCAGTAAGTGCCTACTTATCGATCGATCCTCCGACAGTCGGTAAGTTGTCGCGTAACAATTTTAATGGTTTTTATAGTTTACTTGTTTTAATTAATGGGAGTCTTTAACAGTATCTCGTCGGTGGCTTATTGAATACGTTCATAATGGGGATGAAATTTGACTTTAGCCCTCTGATGGGCCTCGGCTAGTCATTCCTTTTATTTATAATTTCATCTTTCCTTATACTCATGAAAATTTTTAATGTCAAGAAAAGCGTATAATTCCAATCAAATTTTTATTTGTGTCTAATAAAATGATTGAAAGAAAATCTTTCAATGTTTTGAATTCAATTCATTCAAATTTATATATTTAATAATTTTTTGGCCAAAATTTTCATAACGTGTAAAACACAGGCCATATTCAATAATTAATACGTGCAAACTCTATACGAATTGATACATTTCAATACAACGTAAATGTTCTTATCAGCTCGAGTGTGTATTCGTAGAATTAGCAGATATTACGGAATCTAGAAGCTGAAAACATTGGATATTAAAATACAGAAGTATGGTAAATAAGATTTAACCAATTAACGTATTTTTTTACTCATAAATTAATGAAATAACATGAAAATCTATTCTGTCTAAAATCCAGTTAGACCATCCATACAAACTACTGTCACTGCTTATCGCTATCTCGTTGCATAAAGTGTAACAAAATAATTTCCACGAACAAGTAAAATCGCTTAAACCATATTAATCAGCGTTGAAGCGTAGATTAAGCTAATGTACAACACGAGTTGCAATAATTTCCATTTGCATACAACGAAAGAAAAGCTCAGAGTGGTGTTGCACTCGATTTCCCAGCCTGTTCGACCAAGCACCGACAGTTCGTCACAGCGACGAATCGTGAAGAGATAATATTGATATGCACCATAGAATTTTACTGCATCGACGGTTTAATTCGATTGTGACCGCGCTTCTTATCGAACGACGTTCGTTCATCGGAGAAATCGTTGTCGGCTCATAACGAGGCGTAAACTTTTCAGCATCGAATTTCTTCTTTTTTTTTATATTACCTCAACTGACGTATTCAGTCCCCGAAGATTTCCTCCTTCTACCGTGTGTCAGAGACAGCCACGTCCTTCGTGAAACTCCTCGCACGTCACGAACCAGTGACGTACATTTGTGAAACGACAACGGGTACGGTGGAAGAAATCCATAGGATGCTACATTTCCCATGACTCTCCTAGTGGGACACGTGTTTGGAACTTTCGTTCTTTCCCTAGTGAAATGTTTTTTTTACGGATTACGTTAATCAGTACGAGACTTGTTCAGCTTGGAAGTTCCAGTTTTAACTGCGACCTTCGGCAGACGCGCGGCGTCACCGGCAGTAGTGTCTGCGACAGTGTCGTAGAATCATGACGGTACCGTTAATCTGTGTCTCATGAACGACATTTTATAAATCAGCAATTCGTGTACCGCGTGCAAACATCCGGTGGTATGTGTGAAAAACTTAGCAATTTTGAATTTTCAAATAATTCCTGCTTTGTAACGAAATCGTGTTTTCAAGCAGAGACGAAGAAAGATAGTTGTCCAGCGAGACGCCATGTTGTAGGCTGATGATAATCAAGCGCTAACAAAGTGACCGCGTACAACAGAAAGGATGATTTATACGAGGTAATTCCATATGATTCATTTTATCATATATATTTTTAGAAAGAATTGTGGACAAATTATTTAATTAGAAATCAGTTTTACCATTGATTATGATATGTAGATTTTGTGTTCTTATTATCATCATCATCTGTTTTAGACGTCTTTCTTGGTCTATCTATTAATATATTTTTATCACTACGAAACCTTAGAGTTTTATACATTTGTATACTTAATATTCACAATTGCGTAAATTTTGTAATGTACGATGAACTTTGATCCTATAATAGCGTGATTAATATTCTTAGCTCCGAATGGTACGATAGGCAGTTTAAGCAATTGAAAATCGTAATCTGTTATTATCTTGATAAGCCGAGGCTACCAAAGGTAGTGGGAAAGAATTAATTTTTGATCGATACCATTGATTCGATTCGCTATTGATCGTCCCCGATAAACAGAAACAATTCAAAGGCGAGCAGGAAATGAAGGTTCAAGAATTTCGGGTCATTACACTGGAATTAACGTTTTAACGGCATGACCTATTATCAGAATTGATCTTCGGTCTTTGACTTTCTAAATGCATTCCTTCGTTTGTCTAACGATAACAAGTTCTCCAAAATATTGTAGAAACAAGATTAGCGCGATAAAGAAACACAAGTTATATTTGGTTTTCGCGAAAAATACGAAATAAATACTTCCCTCTCGAATTCGCCTAAATTATAAGGAATTTTCTGATAAAAAATTCTCGTATTAATTACTTAGAATATTTTGAGAATAAAAAATACTATCTGACGAAATTTGCACCGCATTAAAAACTTCCTGCTTTTATCTCTTTATGCGTTGAACGGATCCCGTAGATAATCGCTTTACGATGCAAACAAAGGAAACAAATATTTTTGTTCCTGCAGTGCATGGGCATGGTGACATTGGTGCAACACCATCAGGAAACAGCACCGGACGAAGACCGGTATCAGAAGGATCAGGATCAAGTTATTAACATCCCGACCGAGAATCGGGACAGCGACGATTGTCGCGAGGAAATTGCCCACCCCCTCAAAGATACTGCGGTTGTTGTCGCCGGAAATGGTAGCCTCGCCGGTTCCTCTACGCAGTGCAGTGACGTAGAAGAAGAGGACGATGAAGACGAGACGGACTCCGACGAAAGGGAATGGATACCCGATTTACCGGTGCCTACAGTATACCAGCAACACCAGCAAGTGTCCACTGCCGATGGAAACGTGGTGTTGCCCAATGCCGAAGCATCAAATTTTGGTGACGTGCGAGTAAAGAACTCGAGTAACGTGCATCTCGGTAACAAGACGTTTTATAAGGGACCGGTGACGATAAAACAATTTGTTTATACCAACCCGGTCTCCGTACAGGAAAACGGTAACGTTAAGGACGACAATGAACAAACTCACGATGCCAATGGCTCTGCTTCATCGGCTGCTAACAATAAGGAAGATTCGACTGTCAATAGCTCGGTACTATCCCAAAGCCGTAATATTGACAAAGGTGATCATTGTAATTTTAATTTTCAAATGTGATTCAATACTTTATCTAAATTGACCATTCAAGAAATTCTCGGATTTGATAAATTAATTTGTTTTTATCGAATCTGTCATCTTCGAGATTCTGTTATCTTCATTCATTGAGTTTTATCTCTGCGCATTTGTTAATTAAATCCGATAAAATATGACCGGAAGTAGATACATCCCATTACGAAATCTGTGCTCGAGAGATTGAGAAATGTATTTAGTCTCAAGTTTAGTCAATCACGAGAAGGATTTATTCATCCTTATTTTTTAAGTTCATTATTTATGTAGAGTAAATATAACAAAATGGTTTATATATCTGACTATTTTACTTGTCGCTATTGTTATGCCAGAATAAACGGTACGTACTTTACGATAATTATTTTTATATAATACCGTGATGTACAAAACTTTCTTAGTTCGATATAATATATAAATGATACCTTGAATAACTTTTTTTTAATAAGTATTTTTTATTCTGGCATAGATTACAGAAACGTTTTGGGCTGTAAAGGTAATAAAACAATACCCTACTATAACGCAGAAGACAGTGACAGCGTAAAACAAACATTATTACAAAAGGGTTAATATTTTTTGTTTAAGTAGAACATTATAATAAATCATTTTATTTAATAGAATTGTATTATAGAAATATAGAAATGAATTAATATGTTTTCAATTTTTAACTGATGTTTCTTTACTATTTCAGTAACAAAATGGTTGTGGACCTGGAGATGCGCCGCACTTATGTGTACGCTTTCCTTAATCCTTGTAACCACTGTGATCGCCGTGAGTGTACACTATACAAGTAACTCTACTGCACCACCAGCTCCTATTTTCCCGGAAATACCAGATTCCTCGCTCGGAGGTAATTCTATATTTACACAAATTTCTAACTCATCAGGTGTTAATTCGACAACAATATATTTGTGACTTTTTACACGAGGGAATGCAGAGATATAAACGCATCAATTAATTGTAACGTTCAAGTTGCAGGTGTTAAAGTGAAGAATGTTCGTTTCGTCGAACGAAGCGAATGGGGTGCTCAACCACCTTCGGTACAATTGACGAAGATGAAACTTCCGGTACCGTATGTGATCATTAGTCATACAGCAACTGAGTTCTGTACCACGCAATCAGAATGTACATTTCACGTTCGTTTCGCGCAAACATTTCACATTGAATCGAGAAGGTGGTCGGATATAGGGTATAATTTTCTTGTCGGAGGCGATGGATACGTGTACGTTGGTCGAAGTTGGGATTACATGGGATCGCATGCGTTTGGATTCAATAATATAAGCATAGGTATCTCCTTTATCGGTACATTTAATTCCGTCATACCACCCAAAAATCAATTATACGCCGCTCAAAGAGTCATCGAATTAGGGGTTGAACATGGCAAAATTTCGCCGGATTATAAATTATTAGGGCACAGACAAGTCTCTCGGACCTTAAGTCCGGGTGATGCTTTGTACAGTATCATCCAAACTTGGCCTCATTGGTCATCAACCCCGTGAACAAAATTTCTTTCATATTTTGAAATATATAAAATTCACAACTCTAGAACAAAGTTCTATTCGCCTAGAATCTAGAACAATGTAATTTTGCCTAGCATTTATATATTCATTTAAGAATTTAAATAATTTCGCTTAATAAAATGACGAATATATTTCAATTATTAAATGGTAATTTGAAATGAATAAGTGACTGCGATATAGAATATGCGTAGTAATGTATAAAAGAGAAATAAGGAACTTGAGAATACTGATAAGCCAACGCGATATGAAGATCTCTTTTGTAGATAAGTGAACAAAATTATTATGTAGACATGTAATATCGTATTCTCAATTATAAATGTGATGTGTATATTTTAATGTAACATTTATAACTTTATATTTTATATTATGTAAGATAAAACAATTTTATAAGTCATTTAATATCTACTAAAATGGATAGTGTGTATATATTATGAAAATATAGAAAGTAAATATAAAAAATGCATAATATAAAATGTTTAATTTCAAATGTTAAATCGTCATATCATTTTATGGAAAAATTTAAATTCTATTCCATTAAGTATACCATAGAGTATAGATGGTTTTAATAAAGATTCATTGCATTTTTAAAACCTCTTATTGCCAGCAGAGGGCACAATCTTCGGATAGTAAATTATCTAGTCTCGTTTACAACCTAGCGATGGCCTAATTTGGATGTATTGCGGAATACGAAAGAAAATGAATGCAATTGAAAAGAAAAAGATGAGTTACGGAACACATATTGTTTAAAGCAACTGTTACTAATAGTATTCTATAAAGGAAGAAATGTTACAGAGCTCTCAGGGATCGAAAATTTTTATAGATTTTTTATAATTTTCTGACCTATATGTCAATATGATATTGTTGTCAAAGAAACAAATCGTGTACGAATCCATAGCTTCTAAGATAGCCATTTTGGCGGGTGACGTGTTTGCATGCCAAGTATTGACAGCCATAACATAAATGACCGACGTTACATGTAACATGGCGATATTCGTTTTTCTAATCTACAGAAAGCAAAGAGTATGATAAAGCATCGTTCAAGTAACAAGGGATTAATACCATTTTTTACAATGGTGAGAAATATTAATAACTTTGTGTATCGGCTGATAGTAAACAGAGGAAAGAGCGCGTATAATTTTCAGTTGCGCTAGGAGGGGGGGCAATGCACCATGGGAACAATTTGCGACAGGCGCATGCGCAGATCAGTTTACAGTTGGAGCTTGGAAGAAAATGGCGTCAGCTAAGTTTCTGGAGGAAGCTCTGAGCACGGACGTCGATGAATCCGCAGTGAACGCGATAGTTGGCTCCCTTGAAACGCAACTGGTAACATCGACGCCAGCTGTGTCTGGTCATCAAGTAAGTTCTGCGTCAGTCAGCCAGCAGAATCATCAGGTGAACAGTGGTATTTCCAACGGGGGCACTATCACCGCGGTACAGTCGCAGAAACATGGGGTTTCAAACGGTGGCGGTGCTACTACAGTGAATAGTCTGATGACTCAAGAAGTAACAAAGTCTATTACTGCGAGTACTCTTCACCCTGTAAACGTGGTTACCTCAAACACAGTGGCGCCACAGGTTACTACACAACAGCAGCAACAGCATACACAGTCAGCAGTCCCCCCTGCTGCTTATATCAATCAAGTAACTACAAACCAGGTGACCAGCAATCAAACAACAAATATACCAAGCCTTACTAAACCACATGAGCCTGTCAAAATTATTTATCCAACTGTTGGTCAAGTAATAGCAACAACAGGGGTAGCAAATGCCAATAATAAACTTTCTTTTCCTGCACAAACTGTTGGACAACTAGCCAATGGTACATTGGGAATAACATCGCAAGCTGTGTTACAGACAACATCAAATGTTTCCAATGTTGGTTCTGTTAGTGAAACCGGTAGTCAAACAGTGGCTAGTGTAAATAAGCCCACAGGTACAGCTTTGGTGATAAAGACTAGTGTAGCACCCAGTGGTATGGTTTCTGTTCCAATGTCTGTTCCTGTTTCTGTGGCTGGCAATGCTGTCAGCACAGCATTACAGGGTAAAGCTGGGGTTACATCTACAATAGTACCCAGCAATGTGCAAATTCTTAATGTGAATACAATGCGTCCTGGCACTCCGGTGGCAGGACAGCAAGCAGGAAAGCAGGTTGCACCAAGAGTAGTAATTGGTCAACACATGCTTGGAACAAGACCTGGAGCTCCAGGGGTAAGATACTTTGTAAACAAATGTGTATATATATTTAAACTTGTATAATTTGTTTATCTTCATATTCTTTTCTATGATATTAAAATGCTCATTTATACTTTTTTAGATAACATTACAAACATTACATGGTCTTCAACCTGGAACTCAAGGTCACATATTACTAAAAACAGAAAGTGGGCAATATCAATTATTAAGGGTAGGGCCACCTCCAACTGCAGGTACTCCTGCTGGTACTGCAGTTACACCAAATAGTATAGCGGGAAATGCAGTGGTCGCTGCACCATCTCCAGGCACTACCTACCGCTTAGCCTCAGTGCCAGCTGTAAGTAGGCTGAATACACAGTTCACTGGCCCACCACTCGCCACCTTAAGAAAATCTGTTCAGGTGACGCACTCTTATACCTCTTACAAGACTCGATGTAGTGCTGTAGTAGACTTTTAGTTTGTGCCATTAGTTGGAATGGTGTTATTGGTAAGGCTATGTATTATGTTATATTCTTTATTCTGTATTAATTTGTTGTTTCAATTCTGTGAAATTTTCTTTACAATAAATTATTATTGTATTTCAATATCTTTCTTATTTTATAAAAAAAAATAATTTAATAAATATCATCTTGATATATCTAAAAGGAAGTTTTAGTGTACTGATAGATTAAGTACTTATAAATGAAATTCTGTTGTTATAAATGGCTGAAAGTTCTTGTGTAGTATATAAAGAGTTTTATTTTCTTATTGGCTTATTTCTTGGGATGCCTCTTTATTGTAGAAGTTTTGAAAATGTGCAATTATTTTACTAAGTTCAATGCCTTCATCACATATACACACACACACACACACTTACACACACTGCATGTTATACTGGTTAAGGGTATTGTAGTATAATTTATTTTCAGATATAATAAAAAGCAATTAAGTTTATATTCATGTAACTTGTACTAATGTTCATTTTTATTAAAGAAATAAATGATTTAATCAGAAGAATATTTACGTAACATAGCTAGAAAGTGATTATGCCAATCTACAATGATTCTAATAATACATCATGCACTAATATGTTGCTATCCAATTTTTATATAGAGATTATATATGATTACTTTAATATACAAATTAATAATTAATAATCTTGTATAAAATTCTGTCTTCTTAATACATGTAGAATACTCATTATCTCATACTAAATACATAAATCAAAGGCAAATGTACATATATTTCACAATAAAAAATAGTTAAATAATAACAAATTAAGTAAAATTACGAGTCTGTACAAGGTACAAGTGCGTCTTTAATTTATATTATAATTATAATTGCTGAATGACAAGAATATGAGTATGTTTGTTTATTTTGAAGTAATAAAATTTGTTGAAAAAGAATAATAGAAATGTAGATTTTATGTTTGACAAATCTGAAGTTCAGCATGCATATAGAAAAAACGTGTAGATTACAATTCATTAGCAGAATGCTGCAAACATTTCTTTAGACATTTGATATGAAATTGCATGTGGGAAGTAAATTTGTTATTATTAGTATATTTTTTTGTGTTCTTTTAGTGATACTGAGCTTCAGAACATAAAGCAATGTAATCTTTTTCTGTCTAAAATTTTTGTTATAAATAAATATTAATTCAGATGAGTTATGCAATAAAAGTAATGTGGTTGTACGAAGGAAAAGGTTACAAAATTATTAAGTAATGAAGTGTTGATAATATAAAACCTACATAGATATGTTCGCTTTGAAGATGAAAGCATGGCATAAATAAAATTGTTCATTATAATATAAATGTATTTATATTTTTTTTTTATAATGCTGCAAATTGCTTTTGAATGATATTGCAGTTCTATAATTAAAGCAAAGATTTTTGAAATTATAAATTTATAAATATTTTTTAACTTTTGGAATAAATTGATTTAGTAACTGAACGGTTTTTAAACAGCTTGGCAAACAAAAAAATCTTATAACATTGATTTATTTATCAAATACAGACAGTGGCTGCAACTATTACAACAGCAACTACAACTCCAGCTACTGTGACTGCTGCTGCCACAACTACACCTACCCCACCTGTTACAACTGTTCAAACAGTTCAGACACCTGCACCTGTATGTACTATATATACCTAATTAAATCAAATTTAAAATGCTACGTGTTATGATATTTTTACTAAGTGCAGTTTTATATAAATTTTAGTAATTCATGATTTTATATTCACATAAGTTTTGTTTCTTTTTCATTTTTAGCGTCAAACTACCGATAATACCAAAGAAAAGTGCCGTAAATTTTTAGCAAACTTGTTAGAGTTATCTAGTCGAGAACCTAAAGCCGTGGAGCGAAATGTTCGAACTTTGATACAAGAATTAATTGATACTAAAGTTGAACCTGAAGAGTTCTGTGATAGACTTGAAAGATTGTTGAATGCTTCACCTCAACCATGTTTGATTGGATTTCTCAAAAAGAGTTTGCCACTTTTACGGCAATCACTTGTTACGAAAGAATTGGTTATAGAGGGTATAAAACCACCTCCAGTCAATGTTGTTTTCCCTGTAACATCAGCTACTCCCGTAGTAACACAGGTAAGTGTTATTTGTTCAGTAGTAAATAGTAGAATTCGTACTATGCTTCGTACTATTCGTATCTGTACCTTTTGCTATGTATATCATAATGTATTGTATAATATAATGTAGCAGAATCAGCTTAGACCAACTGTTGCTGTGGCGGCAGCAACAATTCCTGTAACTGCAGCTACTGCCACTACACAAGTAAGGGTAATGACTCCACTACCTGCAGCTACAACCACAGTCCCTCGACCTCCTCAGCCAGTTCAACAGAGGCTGGTAAGATAGTGCAATTTTTATTTTATTGCTTTTAACATTATAATTTTGAATTCTGTAATATAGTCTCCATAATAATAGTGAATTATAATCCTTGGCACTTAGTAATCATTGTATATTTTATTCCCTACTTAGTATTTTAATAAAGTAATTTGAAATTGTTTTTTCATTTTCATTTTTATCGCACATAGACATATTGGGTTTATTCTAGATGCGACCGGTTACAACAGTAGTTCGGAGTCCTTCAGCGTATACTGTAAAGTCAACGGTAGCGGTAACTGGTATTCGACCTACTGTTCCTACGGTTCAAAAACCACCTATTGCAACAACTGTTGTTAAGACAGTGACAACTACAACACAGGGAAAAACAATCAATACAACCACTACTGTTAATAAAGCCGTAGTGCCTTCTTTTGTTCCAAAGCCAGTTATTAAAGAAAAAGAAAAGAAGACATTTTCGTCCGCGGGATATACGTATGTAATTATTTTTTGCGTGTATAAAGTTTTTAATTCGCATACACACGCATGGATATTTCTCTAAAATAGGGGAGATGACGATATCAATGATGTCGCGGCTATGGGTGGGGTCAACCTTGCCGAGGAATCGCAAAGGATTCTTGGTTCTACAGAATTTGTTGGGACACAAATAAGATCCTGTAAAGACGAAGTGTTTTTACACATGACGCCTTTGCAGCAAAGAATTAAACAAATTGGTATTTACTTATATCAGTCTCATAATTTAAATGCACGATGTATATGTAGTATAATACTTAAACCACTTTATGGTTTCTTAGTTTCTAATTATGGATTAGAAGAACCTAATCAAGAAGTTGCAGCGTTGATATCGCACGCCGCACAAGAAAGGTTAAAGAATTTAGTAGAAAAATTAGCGGTAATTGCCGAGCACAGGATAGACTTGATAAAGGTGCAGTATAAAAACTATAATAAACCCAATTAGTATGGAACCTAAACAATTGTAAAGCGAATGATACGTATCGCTTATAGGTGGATCCACGGTACGAAGTAACGCAAGATGTCAGAGCACAGTTAAAGTTCTTAGAAGACTTGGATAAAGTCGAACGTAGAAGACACGAAGAACAAGAAAGAGAGTTACTTCTGCGCGCTGCAAAAAGTCGCGCGAAAACAGAAGATCCGGAGCAAGCTAAACTTAAGGCGAAAGCAAAAGAGGTATCATCGTAAATTTACATGAAATAAGTGTTGCTACGTAACCAGGTGTAATTATATGATTAAAATTTCATAGATGCAACGTGCAGAAATGGAGGAACTAAGGCAAAGAGAAGCTAACTTGACAGCGTTACAAGCGATTGGTCCACGTAAGAAGCCTAAACTCGATGTAGGGGGTTCGGCCAGTAGTCCAGGAAGTAATGTCGGTTTGAACGCTTCAGCGACGGGGATAAATAGACAAATGCCAATGAGACCACGTTTGAAAAGGGTGAACTTTAGAGACTTGTTGTTCCTTCTTGAACAAGAGAAAGAAACGTGTAGGAGCACAATGCTGTATAAATCATACTTGAAGTGATGTTCTGTGAAGGGCAGGAACTTGAGTGACCCGCCCGATATTTGGCGCCCAACCTATACGGTCTTGTGTGAGCTGGCCTCAATGGACCTTGATCGATCATGTAACGTTAGTGTACGTTGCGTTGTACAGTGTTTCATAAGTTGCATACGATGAAATTCATTGCGAATCACGTCGAGATTCCACATACATTCAAAATAAGATTATTTCTACCATGTCGATAAGCTTCCCTACTGTAAATGACTGAAGATTTTTTAAATGTAATATAATAGATTGTTCTTTATTTTTCAACACGAAATCGCATCATTGAGGAGAGCAATGTGTATGAGCACATTGTCAACATCAGTCTGGGTAGTCTATGTGGTAAGGGTGTTGTGAGGCCATATATAAGTGTTGTTATATGGTGCGTGTACGTATGTGGAATGAATAATTGTACATTGTCATTTATGTATATGCCTGCTGCATTGTAACACTTGACCTATACTTTTGGACACTGTAGCGCTAGTGTAAAGAGTGCAGGTTTTGTTAATATATAGTAAATCGTATTTTTGCAAATTATAATGTAATGAAAGAAACAGGAAAAAAAAGGAAAAAAAAAATAATACTGTGAGCACACTGTCCAAAAAGTATGGAATAATTTGTACAATATCTTACACCTAAAAAAAAAAAAATACTAAATAGTGATAATTTCAATGTTGATACAACAAAATATAGCTACTCTCCACCATAAGATGGAATTGTTATCAGTATATTATGTTGTAATCTACATTTTCAGTGTTTATAAAAGAATTAGCTGTTACGTTTTTTATTAAAGAAATATTTACAAAAGTAAGAAATACGGATATTTTTTCGATTAACGTTAATTTAATTATTTATACTTCCTCATTGGAATTGGTGCAGTTTTTGCTAATATTCAGATAAAAGGTGTGCTTCGCATGATCAATTGAAGAAGAAGATAAAAAGAAAAAAAAAAATAATAATTCAAAGCGTGTACCTGATTTATAATGTAAAAGAATTTGCTGCAGATGTACGTGGGTGCCTATTATCGTACAGAAGTGATGAAACAAAAGGAAAAGGGAAAAAGAAAAGTGAAAAAAAAAAAAGATATTGATCTTTCCTAACTTGCTCATCGCATGAGCATCGTACATTACGCGTGCCCGATGTAGATTTTTCCTGCAAAATTAACATCATTGTACATGCCTATCATAACGATAGAGAACATTCATACATATACCTGTATATACGTACGAATATACGCATGTATCATTTATTACGTTTAGCGTTCATTTCTAGTGCATCATCATTTTAGATTGTTCACAGTAGTCTCTTTATTCTGTAATAGCATTTAATCATACAGAATCTCGAATGATTTGTGTTCATTCATGAACATCAATATATAAATATAGAAACTGAATTTTCATGTTGGAACGTATTAAACATTTTACACGAGATATCGATATGGGAAGCCATACGTTTTTTATAAGCTATAATATATAAATTTGATATAAGTTTGTTGAGGCAATGATAGAAGTTTTTCTATTATACTGCCGTAGTTTAAAGAAGAAAATGATAACATATAATAACGAGGCATACGATTTATTTAATTTCTTTTTTTCTTTTTTTTTCTTTTAAATGATCCTCAAGACGATGGTTACTTCAGATTACCCACTATAAGAAGAAAGTTTACCAAGTATCCTGGTAATCTGGATTAACCATAACTCTTCAATGATTTTCGTGCTTCCATATTTTTTAGGGAGCACGATACGCAATTTCCTGACCATCGACGTTCGCGGAATTAAAATAAAATTAAAAAAATATATAAGTTACAGAGGCACGTACACCTGTGAGTCTTCGTTAGTGTAAATAATAAGAGAACAAAAGGAGCGAGTGAGAGAGATAGAATGTGTGTGATAGAATGCGAATATCTGTAACGTTTCAGTTACAAATTACGTGAAACGTAGTTGCTTCAACGGTTCAAAATATCAATCTTTGAAATAATAATAAAAATACGCGCACAAGACTGACGAACTATGTAAAAAGATATTAAGTTGAACTCTATATACTGTTATCTTTTTGAATATCTGTAGCGCCGATTCAATTTGCGAGACGAATCAGTACAAAGTGGTGGAAGAGCAAACAAAAAAAGATGATTTAAAAAAAAAAATTGTATAACAGGTGCAAGGGTACATTGCAATACTGATCTCAGTTAAATATAATTTGTTATTGCGTGCACCGGGAAGCGAATTTGCCTTCTAATTGTATAATGCAATTTATTGTAAGTTCTTCGTTAGGAAAGAGCACTGAAAATTAAAAAAAAAAAAAAAAGAAAAAGAAAGAAGAAGCGGATCGTTGAAGCAAAGTTGTTCCGAGTACATACATGTAAATAATTCGTTTTTCAGTCGCTAACTATACTTTTTATCGGGAATGGCACATAAATAACGTTTACATGTACCATACCATTTTTGGCCGCGCACTTCACAATGTAAAGGAAAAAACGAGAGAATGAAAAGGATAAGGTTTTTTCTTAGCTGCGTGTTCCTCTTTGCAATGATCGCGTCGTTTCTTTTTTATACGGGATTCGATGAGAAAAAGAAAAAAAATTTACTAATAAGACCGCAAGTTTCCGAAGTTAGATGATAACGTTCTCCTTACTGCCACTAAGTGGAAATTATTAATATAAATAATATAAAAATAGAGGAATGTAAAGAAACTAAAGGTACATAGCAGTTTTGGTACAGCATCTATGATATTTTTACAAATTGTAATTGGATAAGTCGTAAGCCAGAGGATAATAAAAAAAAAGAAAAAGAAAAAAAACACGAGAATAAGTTTCACCAAAGAGATAGCCCGAATTCTTTACTCTTAGTTTTTGTTTTAGAATTAAAAGGAAAAGAAAGAAAGTTGCGATTTTTGTACCATCATGCGTCTATTTTCTTTTGGTAGGAATCGAGTTCTATTTTCGTCTTCTTTATAGTTTCTCGCGAGAGGGATGAAATTTATAAAGTTTCGGGCTGTTAATGTATTCGCAAAATTAAATGATAAAAAATACTAAATATATTTGAATAAAGATTATTTCTTTTTTTGCCTTGTATTTTTACGTGGAACGAATTATTATATATATTATAAAGAAATAAAACTTAGAAGAAAAAAATATAAAATGTAGATTATATAATGCAAATACGTGAAATGGTGCCTTGTTCCGATTGCGTATCATAAACTGTTCTTCTAGACGGTCCCTAACATGTTCTATTTAAAGATGCTCTTGAACTATTTACTCGAGTATCAGTATACTCGCTTTACGATTGGTCTCTTATCGCAATCGCATAAACGGTACTTGCTTTATGAATCATGTTCAGTCCCCCTTCCAAAGACGTCCTGGTTACGTGTAGGTTTGATTTAAGTTCTTGAAATTTTTTAATTTCACACAAAGACTCGTTAAAAAATAGAACAGATGATATTAATTGAGTGCAACACTTTTTGAATAAAATATGTATAATAAAAAGAAAAGAAAATTCGTTTTTGCAAAATTGCAAACGTCTGCGAGTTTTCCGAGGATTGTCTAGTGGAAAATATCGTTCATCAAGCCTTCGTACGGACAATGGTAGCGTATCCTCGAATTTCAAGCCTGTCTTCCCTGTTGACGCCAAAGGCTACTTCGCCTGGTGTCGTGTATTGAAGGACCTGGGACTGAGGTGGCCCTCGGGCGATCCAGAAATGGAATATAATCAAGCCGTAGCTCGACAGAGACCGAGAACCCTGGGGGGTTGGAAGGTAAAATGTGCAATAGCTCGTAAGAGAAAGATGGAAGAGGGTTCATAGACGAAGAACAGAAAGACGACGAGGTATTGAAAAGCGAAGAAGAAAGGGTTGTTGCAAAGATGGAATCGATGAAAAGCGAAGAAGAATACGGAATTTCGAAGACCAGGAAGGGGATGAGAAAATAAACATCGAGGTGAAGAGAATAATTATACAGAAAATGGCAAAGAAAAATAGATTTACATATAAATAGAAAAAAAAAAATATCAAGAAGAAGAGAATTGTGGAGAGAAACAAAAAGGGGGTTGTAGAGAGAACATGAGGGTTGTAAAGAAAAATGACAGTAACAATACGGTAGAATGGATGAAAAGATAAAGAGAGGGATAGAATAGAAGGGTATAGAAACAGAGAGGAGCAGAGAAATGGAGAGACGGTCGAAGCGGAGCGTCGGGCTTTCCCGCTCGGCAGGTTCGAGGGATGACAGCCCGCGGCTTTTGCTACCCCCGGGCATCGCGGATATTGAGTTCACGGTAACCATGGAAACGGGGCCTGAGGCAATGACGTTTGTGCGCTTTATCCCTTATTCCCGCGGTTACGTGATCAACGCGGTTCCGAGCTCTTTCCTTCTCTTTTACTCCTCCACCCTCTACCCCTTGTTTCTTCTCACATATTATCTCCTCTTTTTCTCTTCGACCTGTTACGAAAAGGTTCTATTGTTTCGGACCTTATAAAATCATCAGATTGGTTATTATGTGTTCTCCCTTTTCTCTACCTTGCTAATTAACCCTGCAAATCTTTTAAATTCTGCGAAAAGGGAGATTCACCCGTTGATGTACACGAATCGGTCAACAACAGTGATGGATTTAAGTATTTCGCGAGCAATTGTTAAACGAAAGAGTTTTATATATTTAAAAGAACTATACACTCCTTTTCAACGTATTACCATAGAAAGAGCCCAGATGACTTTTGTCCCTATTTTTTTACATCTCTGTTCTAGAAAGAATGCATACACTCTGTGGAACGTATGTGAGATTGAAATATGCGATTACGAAAGCCAGCAGAGCGAAAGGTCATCGCACGAGATGCACGAGTTGCAGTTTTGCAGTCGGCAGGAAAAGTTAAATGCAGATTCCGTGTAATTCGTTCAAAGGCTATCAAATTTTTATATCGGCACGTTACGGCTGCTGCATTGTTCGATTAAATGATTTGAATGCATCTCGTTGCACCGGTAGATTTTATTTTTTCCTTTTGAAATTCAATCGAATCCCGTCATTCCCGCGGGATTGTTTTTCTCTTTCATACTGGGAGAATCAATTTGTAATAATCTTGAAACGTTGTTCGAGCGACCCTGGCTTTATTCAATTTCGTTTTGCCGGTTAATTTGGAAATTTAATGCTAATTTGCTTGGCGGAAGGGGACTTGGTATGGGTTCAAAATTGGCGTAACCATCGTTTCCACGGTTTCAAGTAATAAACGTTTTATTGAACGGGATACTTAACGTAGCAAGTGTCTTATTAATTAGAAACTATTTTCCCTCTGTTTTTTTAAACGCGTAATAACCGGGATAGTCGACGTGAAGCCGAAGCCGAAAGACCTCGGCGAGTATACGTACAGTTCCTTTTCTAAGTGTATTTTGTTAGTTCGTTAGAAACACAGCATTTTAGTCGATGAGATCAACGCGAGTTGTTTCGTTGTCGAATGCGTTTAAGTACATAGAATATTTATATTTATATATATCATATATATATAGATATAGATACACGTTTATTCGCGGTATTTACAGTAATTAGTATGGCATTTAAATACATATAGGTACACCTTATTTAATAAAGAGTTCTTATATGTATAAGTGGGTCACGAGCTTAATAACCGTTCCACGACACATTATCCAGAAAATTATGTTCCTCGGGCTGATTTTCATAAAAATATACTGCAACGATTTTAACGGTAATTTTGCTGATCGTAACTCTGTAACCTTATACGTAGTCGAATTACGAGAACTCGGACTGCATAAGACTCGAGCAAAGAAAGTTGGATTTGTTAAAATATAATTTGAAGAAAGTATCAGTGGAGTTCGATTACGAATTACTAGTACAATATCAATATCACCCCTGATGAATCTAACGGTAATATCAACGAAACATCAGAATAATTCTCCAAGTATAACCACCCGGAAGTCTCTACTAATAACAAGTACATCAACTCTTTCCACCGTCTCAACATCCCAGTTATTCAAACCATCTTATCCCTCTGGACGTTTGAATAAATAAAATTCTACTGCATCTCTCGAGATCTTCCAAGGAAGCTGGTACTACAACACCATGGCTAGCTCCATTACTCGGAACATCCTGGATCCACGATCGTTCGCGAGGCAGTCTTGAAGGGTTCTCCTGGACAACTCACTCGGGATCGTGTTCCCGTTGAAGACAACGGATCGTCCTCGAGCTCGTTTTGCGCTGGTGCGCGTTGTTCCGTCAGGTGTTGACGGCCTGTCGAACGAATAGGTACTCCGAGAATTGTTGACCCTCTACACCGCCTCCATTGCTGGCCACTACACGGAAACCGGCGTTCAGAAGCCTGGTGATGGCCTGAACGGAATTCAGTTTGCAGTAGCCGTTTAACGGGAACCTGATCACGTGACGAGTGTCCTGTTGATGCCAAGCAACACCCGACCTGGCGTCGATCACCGCCTGGGTCGTTTCCGGGAACACCTCGTCGAGCAACGCGCGACCACCGGACAGCATCACCCTTTCCCCTAAATCGGGACTGACATGAAGAGCAACGCACTCGTAGCTACAATTCGCCTCGTTGCCGCGGATCTTCTCGGAATCCCGGTTACAGGGCACGCTGGTGCAACTGGTACCACGAGCACCCTGTTGGTTTGTCGGCGGAGGACTCGGGGAGGAGGATGACATCGTCGTCGTCGTCGTAGAACCGTTTTTTATACGCTCCTTCTTCATTTGTTCCAACTGCCTGCACATCGCTGCAACAAATCATATAAGATCACAAGAGTCATTAATTACATAAAATGTATGATTCATACTGAATAAAGTATCAGCTACAGTAGATTTATATAGACGTCTTCTTTCTTTCCCTAATATAAATCTATTGTAGGCGTTTAGTGGAAGGGGAGAGGGTTTCGTCTCCCCGGACGCCTTTAGTTCTGACCGGGGACCGTTAGGTGGCGGCGAGATGATCGGTGACAAAGTTCTCGCAAGCGACAGCATGCAGTTCGAATATATATTATAGAACTTTAAAATTGCGGTATGATAGGTGTCTGGGGCAGGGATCGTATGTTGTTCCTAGGTATAAAACGTTGTATATATTGTTATCAACTGCGTATATTTTATTAAAAACCATATTGTTGTTCGGTTTAATGTGTGACCAGGCTGTGACGATGTTGCCCTCGAGTCCTGACCGAATAACGAGCAAGCCGACTATATCAAATACTAGAATATATTCAGTCTTTTTTCTGTTAGTTTTTGTATTTAAATAAGCTAAGAACCAACAATGTACTACTTTACAACAAAAACAATAAAAATAAACAAAGACTTTACAGTCTGTTGTCAGCCCCATTGACAAGTCTGACAGATGATCCCGAGACGAAACGCCTTTTTCTCCCCTATCCTACACTATAATGAAAATAATAAGAGTTTCACTTACGTGCGATGTCAAAGTATCGCGCTTCCTCGAGTAACAGATCCAAATCGGCGAAATTGTCCGGTATCAGTAGACGGGAATTCCTCATGAAGTTCAAGATGTGTCTGAACATACCTCCGTCCCTGTCGATGAAGTAGTGCTGCTTCAAAGAGTCCAAAACGATCGGGATACTGCCATTGAATAATTTCGCTAGCCTCGATTCCGGGTACCTGCGAACAGACATTCGAATGGTTGTCATACGTTCTTGAATGCATATCAACTGATAACATCCATTTCTTTCAAGCTCTGTCCAGACAAATAGCTTAATCAAGATAGAGAAATTGCAAAGTCACGAAGTTTATCACATTTAAGAATCTCGACTGTCAACTTTAACTTCGCCACATATCATTCTTGTTGGATACGTCTACGTTTAACATTTTCTGCTACCTGACACTTTAGCCTGTGAATAAGAATTTGTATAAAATAAAAAGTCTCGTTTCTACCGTGTTACACGGTGGGTCGGATTCAAAATCTGCCTTCCGGGTTTCCTCGAACAAAACATTGTCATTCGTAAGCTCGTATCATCACGGTCTTTTGCATCATTTTAAATCTTGTCGATCGATGAATCGTTAAACAGTCACTGGAGGCTATCGGATGTTCCGCGTGTAGCGACATATAAATTACGCTTTCGCATTGACGAGGTCTCGTTGAGACGGGAGCAGGTGTCTGTGTTGCTGATCACCTGTCGAAATCGCTCCAAGTTACAAGCTAGCTGCACCTGTTTCGAGCCGAAATTTTTAACCAACCCCACCAGCTCTGCGGTTCCGCTTTAATTGATGATCTCCGGACGCGGAGGACCGATTAACGTCACGTTGTAAAGCGTACATGTTATACATTTTGTCGTGAACGAATGTGCCGCTAAGTAAAGACCGCGGCATCATCGAACCGGTAAAATTTCATATTTTATTGGATCGACGAAAAGTGTAATGGAAATTTGTTCGAGGAACGGAGGGTCGCAAGTGAAAAGTCCTTCGACGCAGGCACCGTTGAAATGAAGATACGAACTATCGAAGTACTTTCGAAGGGTTGCTTATTACGCGCGCGATTTCGATCGCTTAATCCCGTGGCAACGATCGATTATCTCGTCATCACTGGCCTCGAATTTCATCTCTTTATTCCGGTTATCGTGCCGCGGGAGAAGACGAAGCTGCTATCATTTTCGTGAAAGCTGCTGGAACGGATACGTTTCGAGACGGAGAAAGGACGCGCGCGAGGGGGGAAACGGGAGAAGCGTGGAAACAAAGAGAAAACGAGGATTAACCCTTTTCGTTGTGAGAGAACGCGTATAATGATACTAATAATACTTGATATTCTTAAGTTTTAATACGACCGTATCTACTGCGACAGTCACCGCGTTAACTCGATAAAGTCAATGACTTAATGAACGCGGATATGCAGATGGCTGACGTCGAACCGTGCCACCTTTTCCGGCTTGGCTTTAGAAAGTGCCCGTGACATTTTCGAGCGCGTTTCACGTCGCGTTGCATCGCCGATCGAGTTGCACTATTCTTGTTGCGTTCCTCTGCGCTCGATATAATCTGAGAATTGCATTTTGATACAGTGTGATATTACACCAAAGTTGAAGTTACAATTTTTGACTAAATGCAACAGAATTCGAACCCTTTCTATAATTTCGTCATTGAATACCGAAAGATAGTGGTCGGATGCATTTTTTGATACCGCTCTCAGCACGATTCTGCGTGTGCGAGCCGAAGGTCGTCGTAATTTAGCATATAATAGACGAGTGGCCTGGAAAAAGGACGAGAAGGACAAAGAGGACGAGATTGTGCTAAAGACGAAGGCCGGCAAGAGAACGAGCACATAGGAAAAGAGAATGAAAGGAGAGAAAGAGGTTGGAGAGTCGGTTCTTCGTGTATCTCTCGTCGGTGCGTTATGGCACAACGAGGGGGAAATACCGACGTAGGTATCCGGTGCCCCCTCGGGCCGGTTCCCATACCTTCCATGGCGATAACATATAATAACGACGGCCCGCTGGAGCCCGTGGGCGATCTGACTTTAGCGGACGAGACAGAGAAAGAGAAGACACCCCGGGGTAGGTGGGACGACGTTTATATATACGTGTATACTACGAAAGGATCGTCGTCTTTCTCTCTGGTTCTCGCTCTTTTCGACGGTACCTCGCGAAACTCGAGACTCGTGCAACGAGAAAATGAAAATTCTGTGGATACTGTGTCAGAAATTCAACCCTTGGAAAGAACGTTATCGAATATTGGCTGCTCCTAACATTTTTATACTTTCGATAGAGAATTAATTGTCCTTTCAATTTATTACCTCACATTATTATAAGGTGATACAAAATTTCGAACGTCGATCACCGATGACCCCGACGACATAGTAACCTCCAGATAATAATGGTATTCAAGCGATTAAATCAAATCAATGTCTTCTCAAATAAAACCATCATCCTTTGACCGCTCGTTTCCTTTATCAAAGCGTACAATAGAGTCTGACAGAGCAAGATCGATCCAAACTGAACCGTGAAGAAGATGACGAAGAAGAAGAAGAAGAAGAGGTAAGGTCGAAGTAACAGGGAAGAGAAACGATGGTGGTGGATAGAGAGTTGAAAAAAAGTGAGAAAGCATCGAAGAGGAACAAAAGGGAAGGTAAAGGTGGATATATGATGCTCGCAGGCAAAGAACGCGTTGTCTGTGGGGAATCATGGCGCGGAAAGGGTGTATGTGCGGGGGAGGAAACGGTACCAGGGGCGGAGGAAGAACGGCGTGATTACCCCGGGCGATTTCTTGGGCCCACCGACCGACCGAGGTCCGATCCCGGGTCAGATCCACTCGCTATGGGAAAACGCTAAACGATCGGCTCACATCACTCAGATTCCTGCTCTTGTTTTGCTTCGCACATAAATATACACACATACACATGTGTGTACGCAATTCGTGACTGCTTTTATACGACCCTGATTATGTGGATACGTGAACGAGTTGTTTGAATCAAGGTTTAGTTCCTGAAGATTTACTTCTTCTCGCATAGGTGTGAATTAGATTAATTCATTAATTATTCCAATTGAATTAACACCCTATCCATTCCTTTTTAGTATTAGAAAATTCGATCGAAGGTATATTAACTCTTAAACAGTAGAGCCTAAGTCAATCGTAACCTAAGCTTATAAAATATATATAAGGCTCTCTCCATGGTCCGTCGTCCGAGGGATAAATTAAAAAATTCTGAGTCAAAGGTGATCGATCCTTGAAGGGTAAAACATATATTCTTTTAGAATATTATTATAGCTGTAGAAAGTGTTCTATGAATAAATCGGTCATTTTATCCGCAATAGTTACTTGTTAGTCCAATCGTCGCGTGAAAGGCAGTAAAAGTCCTCGGGTCGCAATGGTATCGTAGTACAGTGTATTGTATGATAAGTAAGTTGCACCTTTCACCCATTAAACGCAGGGCAAATTGCAGTTTCAAATGCTAGTCGTTCTATTGAAATTGCATCCAAACAAATCCGTTTAAAATATACAGTTGCAAATCAATGGTTGGATAGAAACGGTGTCGGAGCGAACGAGAAAATTTCTAAATACATCGACAGATACGAGATACTGTTCGTTCGATTAGATCAATCGAAGAATATACAACGTTTCGGAATATATCTGGTAAAATTGATATTGGAACGGTTGCCAAAGGAAGCCCCACCTTTCGCGTTCCCCCGTGTTACTCATGAAATTGATTTACGCCAGCTAAATCATCGTCGACTCGTATAACGGCATCGGCGAAGATCGCATCGAAGATAGTCGTTTCTCAAGTCGAGACACCTACGAGAATTTATACACCGGTCTTCGAGAAACGAACGACAATGGACAGCAATAATAATAATGATCGAGCGGCGTGATCGTGCGTGGATAAGGATACGAGCCGCGAGTCAGTTAACCAGGGAAATGTTCCCGATCGTTTGCTGGAAACTGCCGCTAAATCAAGCAATAAAGAACGGTAATAGCATAAAAACGAGCATACAAATGGTTCTATTTTCAAACAGAACATGATACTAAATTATTGGAATGATAATACCGTGATAAAACTATCATCGCGAGCTGAATTATCATTTTTTACCAACAACTTTTTATGCATCAATTTAGATAGATTTCGTTGCAAGATGCATCTCGGTTTGAAATGCATTAATCTCACGGTCAAGCAGTAGTTTTCCGTTAGACGTTTTCAGGATTGACGTAACTACCGATCATTAGTTTGTGCTTCCGGTATCACGTAATCCCTAAAACATCGTCCATCATCCTGCCGGCTTGGAGAGTCCTGGCGAAGACTTAGCAACGCCCTCAGGCTATCCCGTGGAGGTTTCAGCGAGTCCTCGTTTCCTTACCCTTCATCCTGGGACAATTTGCTCAACTCTGACAAAACGATTTTGTATTGGCCAACCTCTTGTTCTCCTACGAGTGCATACTCGTTATTATAATGCTGTTAATTAATTACTTTGCAATAAAATTAAAAAAATTGAAATGGTAAAATGATACTTTTTCATTGTTTTGCCCGAATGAATTTCTTATTATTTTCTATATATAAAATTTCTATAATAAAATAATCCTACTATACGAGAGAAAATGAACGTTTAACGAGCAGAAAACGATCGGGTGTAAGACGGTAGCATAAACGACCCACGATCTCGGGCACAGTTGGATCGAAACGAGTCTGGTCTCGCGACTTTTCCTACGGTCGTTTCGATACGATCGAACGGACAGCAATCTCGTGGTACTTTCGACAAAACAATAAGGTCGACCGTGTGTAATGGGGAAGGTGCAATCGAGCGTGTCGGAGATGGCGGAGAGGTTGTCCGGTTTTCTACGATATCCATGGCTTTCCTTCTCGAACTGCTGTTACAAATCGGTATACTTATCTTCGACCTTTCACGACGATTAATAAAATTGATACGAACGATTACGTCCGGTCAGGAGATCGATTAAAAACTGACTCATGCCCCGGTAGCTCGATTAAATATGCATTTTAAATTGAATTCAGTCGATCAGGTGATTTCATCGATAGGGAGAAAATTATTTTAGTAATTCCCTGATAAAATCAATTTTATTTAAATTCTATAATTGTAGAAGTAATTATTCATTTTGTACTAAGAATATTGATAAACCATTTATGTAGCAATTTTCAGCAAACTTTAAGCTTTGATTTGATATACCACAAGTACCATTTTGTAATACTTTTATGTCATCGAATCGTATCAGACTTCTGATATTTCGAAATCGCCCATTTAACATGCAACAACCTTATTCAGTGCAGTTGAACGATGATTTAACTTATCATGTCCAATTAACAACTTAACGAATATCCATTTATCCATTCGAATCGTGATCTCGTCTTTCCTTTTTTAGCCAGCTCGAAGCTACCGCCCTTATCTTCATACTTTATTGGCAGCGTTATCAGATAATTGATATAAATTGAAGGGAACCGACCGCGGGTCTCCTCTCGTTACGCAATTAAGAATCTCCTAATTGATTCTAATATCTCGCTGTCGACCTTTATTTCTCCATAAAATTGAAATATCACGGGGGTACGTTCGAGTGGGTGGATCGACCACGATTTCTCTCGATCCATTGTTTCGAGGGGCCGATTCGTCTAACGGGATCGTCTCGTAAATCTTCCGAAGCCTTCTGGTGGTTGGAATCGAAGCCGAGATTCAGTGAATCGGTTAACGTTCCCGTTAACGTTATTCGACGACAACGAGGGACCTCCTGTTTGCCAATTAGAATTAACTTTCTCGCGAATACTCGCGGTTCTCCAACCGATTCTGTTCAAATGTAACTAACGTTTCTTCTCGTCGATCGAGGCACCGAGATATCCATCCATGTCGAAGTTAGTTAGCGTGTGATCGTAACGAGCACCGGCATGAATATATCGCGAGATGTTCCTGTGTAACTGTATTGCTCCGACCATTGAATCGTTTTATCACTGTGCTGCGTGAGAGCAACCAAGCGGAACCGTTTTCTCCGCAAAATTGATTAATTCTTAAATTGCCTTATAAATTATACCTAAGTTAACCCCTTTAGACTCTTGGAATTCTTATAAATTCTTCCTTAAATGGATTGATAAATTATGATATAATTTAATTATGATTTACTGTGCGATGCTGATCATTTGTGAAGTATTTCACTTGTAGAAATTAACCCTCCGACGGCGGACCAGGGAGAGCCCTAATTATAATTTCATTTCCTATTTCACATTATATTCATTTTCTAAATTTTACGCTATTCTTTTAAAATTATAAATTAACACCCTTGTGTTTGTAAAATATGTATCGTACAATCTAAATTCTCAAAATCTAAAATATCAGCCTCGGTTCTCCGTTCATCGCGCATCTATCTGAACCTCCTTACGACGCGACGGTAGCATTTGTAACGTTCAACGCGATCGTCACGGAAAGGTTAAGAGGAAAGAAGAAAAAAAAAGCGGAAGCCTATCTCGTATTCATTATCAAACACGATGGATTTGATTGCTGTATGGCTGGTAATTTATTACCATCCCGATCGTCGAGATTTATCAAACAGCTTCTGCCTGTACGCGCAACAGTTGGCCAATGACGGAGGTGATCGTTAAAAGACGAGCAAAAGGTGTTCGTTGAATCGAGCTACCTGCCTCGAATCGATGATTAGTGGCATCGTTTGCCTCTCGTCAAGATTTCAACGGATTTTCGTCGATCGAACGAACCGTGGACCGGCGAGACTGGATTTCATCCGCTCGAGATTAGCGTCTTTTCGCAAAGCATAGTTGGGGCTTTCACGTTTACGTCTCTTTTATGCATAAAGTACACGGGAATACCGCAAATAGCCTTTGGACACTGTCGGCCATGGTAACGGTGTGCCTGATTGCGAGCGATATGTTCGTAGAATATCTCTACGAACATCCTGGAGCGTTGTCGATGGTCACGTTTCCGCGATTTGGCCATCACGCTCCCTTTCTACTCTCTCGCATAGCGATCCATCTAATCTACCTCCATATGGATGATAAAAGTAACTTTGACGGAAAGACTAACACAAATTCTTAATAAAATTTCATTTCGTTAAATAATAAAAATTGAATATTTTGTAAATATAATTGGTCCTCTCCTATTCAAATTTATGGGGAAACATTTATGATTTGAGAAATATATCGGTGTCTTTGAAACGAGTGATATTATTCACGCTCAGTGAAAGTAAGTCTTGAGATACATTTATTGCTTGTTTAATCATATCCGATCTTAACTTCCCACTCGTTCGTGACTTTCCAAAATTATCATACGTTCGTTTTACGATTGAAATTCCGGTTTTCCTTCGATGGATCGGGACGTTTCAATTTTCATTTAACGTGAAAGAAAATCTAATCAATCACGCGGGATTAACTCATTTCCCTATGTTCGATCAACTGCGATATTCTAATGGCGGACGACAGATCAGAGGACCGATTTCAACTTTCCCGTACGAGCAAGCGGTTTAAGTCGTTCGTAAAAATGTCTATCACACGTTCATTATCGCTGATTTCACTTTTCCTCTCGCGTAATAAATTAGATCGACGGTTGGGCGCTTGATCTCGTAGCTTTCAAAGTGTTAACGCGTTTCCATGGATTACAAGGTGTTCGTGCACTTACTTGGTTAACGTTTCGAGAGAGGACGTGTATATGGTGCCGCCTACGTCGATGTGGACCGGCGCCGTGTACCTGGATGCGGCCGCCACGCACGGTATCCCGGTCATCTTCTGGTTGTACGCCGGTGCAGCCGGCGTCGGTGGCGTCGGCGACGAGGAATTCGACATTGTGGGCGACGTGGCCGGCGAACTGCTTGGCGACAGCAATCTGACAAAGATACTTTCGACATTAGCCACCATCAGGCCCCTGTTCCTTCTACGAGCCTTCGAAGCTCGTGCTTCGACAATTCAGGAAGAACGATGAAGAAAGGAGATAACGAGAAAACTGGTAATTCAGCAACGTAATGAAATTTAATGAGATCGTAAAATTGGAAATTTTGGTCTTTTTTACGATTCTTCAATGAAATTTTTTATAAAATTGATAGATATTATTCATTGGAAGAAGTAGGGAACTTGTTTCACTCGATCCTTATCGTCTTTCCTTTATAATATTTCATTATTTGTAACAATTTTTGTAGAAATGATAGTAATAAAGAGATATTTATAAGAAATTCCTAACTCTTGTACGGCGGACCATGGAGAAAGGCCCAATTTTAATTCAATCTGGATTTCATATCATTTTCATGTTTTCTTTTTTTTTAAATTATTTTTGCAATATATAAAACTCTTCCGTTTAAAAATTGTACATTAAACTTTAGGTTCATTTACCTCATTTTAATTTGAGCGCTAGGGAACATATTGCGTTGTGCCAGCTCTGCCTTCGCCTCCTTTCCGTCGGCCTCACATTTCCGTCTGTAATTAAAATTCCATGCAATGTAATAGTATCTATAAAAAATATACTATAATATCCTTATAATAATAAATAGAAAAATTTGTAATTTTAACTTATAGCAATAGAATCCTTGCAAATCATGAATCAACTTCATCTCTTACAAATCGTTCCATCGCAAAAGGTACGTAAAAACTCGCATTTCCCGGGATTTTTCCTTCTAAACGGTGGAAACGTCAGGACGAACGTTCGCAGCTGCCATTTAGAAGTCGAAATTCCGCTCGCTCGTTCCTGACATTAACTTGGAACTTTCCCTCTAACGAGGTCGCGCTCGCGGGCCGATTTCAACCACGACCGGGGCTCGATTTAATTTATCGATCCTCCTGGTCGCGACGATAAGGCTGATTTAGCAGGGCATTGTTTTCGGTCGAGCCGCCGATCCGGAACGCCTCGGACCGGCTTTCCGTACCGGCCCACACGCACGCCATACCTTCCTCGGTCATTTTCATACATACGTATTAATAAGGCAATTAACGGTAGAACAATATTTAACGAGGAAAACCAAACTCGCTGTGGTCCGACCAATGAGAAAATTCGAAGGGTCGGTTCCAAAGAGAGACTGTACTCGTTTCTAACCTATGTATACATTCTATGCTTCGTTCCTCAGCCCCCGCTTCGTTTTGTTGCTTTTGGTTGAAGAATCTTGTATTTTTTAGAATTTGTCAAATAATATTGTTTAAAATTATGAAATAGAAGAAAGTTTTCCTTTTTACCCTTCTTACCCTCTATTCCTATTACCCCATTTTAATGAAATATTATCTAAAAAACATTAATAATACTACGCTTCTATTATCACCGATAAAAATATAAATTTCTTCCTATATATTTTACAAAATAATTTGCAAGAATCATATCGTAGCAGGGAATCAATCATCTCACCCCGAAACACGAATCCCAGCTAGTTTTCTGGGATAACTCCGCCATTTTGCAATATAATTACCTTCTAAAAATTGGAATATAAAGCTGAAAGTTACATTTATATCTTCTAAAAAGATCGAAGCTTTTCGTTTACTAATCAACTATAAAAAAAATTTCTTAAATTTGTCTACTTTTAGAGATGCTTCAGAGTGATTCACCCCCTTGCTTGTATTATCACTGATAAAAACATTTTCTTCCTATATATTTTACAAAATAATTTGCAAGAACCATATCGTAGCAGGGAATCAATCATCTCACCCCGAACCACGAATCCCAACTAGCTTTCGAGGGCATAAATCATTGCAAGACGTGGTAACGTTAACCATCGCCGTATAAACCCCAATAAATACGAGGCTGTGTACCGTGGGGGTATTAAAGAACCCGATGGAAGTACCATCGACCACGAAACTCGAGAAGGAAAGAAGGTTCTCGTCGTCGTCGTCGTTGCCGGCCACGATATTTATTTTCAGCCTGTAAGCCGGACTTCGTTGCGACGTTCGATGAGGACTAAGGTACGCCAAGGGGACTGGTTTCTCTTTTCTGCTCCTTTTCTTCTTCTTCTTCTCGTCCGTGGTATACCAAGATCGCCGCGGGAACAACGCGATACGCGATGCAGAATCTTTTCTTCGTTGCTCTTCGACATCGTCGAGCAATCCGCGTTGCGGTCGTCGCAAGTTACGTTTGGCTGCATAGAATATCTTTGCAACTAAGTCCAAAAATAATATTTGAAACGTTGGTACTTGATCCGACGCGATATAGTAATCAATATTCCAACGGAAAGGATTTTTAATAACCTTGCCATTTTGTAATGGTATTATTTTCTAAAAATTGGAATATAAAATAGAAATTTATATTTATATTCTCTAAGAAGATCAGAGCTTTTTGTTTCCTAATTAATTATAAAAGAAATGTCTGAAATTTGCCTATTTTTGGGGGTGCTTCAAAGTGATTCACCCCCTTGAAACTAGAACAATCAACGATGGATAAATTCTTACTTTTAAATAATAAATGGCACCTTGATAATTTTTCTTATTTAAAATAAGAAATCTGAGATCATACGTAACGAGTTAAGGTGTATGCGTTGCAGAGAGCAACAACGACCGTGTTGGTCGCCTGGGGCGAATCCATGGTCTCTCGTGGACGTTTATGAATGTGGAATAACAGAGGAACGTGGCGAGGCTGTTTATTTGGATGCTTGCCCCATATATTTTAATTGACGCAGCGAGTGCAACCGGGCCGACGATAAATCTCCAAGGGGGACGTATAGGGTTGCGTTTGAGGGTGTGAAGTTATGTGGAAAGAATCGTGGGTGTAGAGATTATGGAGACTCCTGTGGGTATTATTGGGGAATGGTAACAGAACGAGTTGATAACCAATACCTTATTTCTATTCAATCATTTTTTTTTAAATTTAATTCATTGTTAAATGGAATCCTAATTTCCTGTTCTATTTAAACCAATTTCACTTTGAAATACACGCGATTTATGGGAATTTTGCATCGATCAGTGTAACAAACATTATCCTTGGAATGCCTTTAGGCAATCGATTAACGTATGTAGATTCCACTAATATAGATACATGTATAAATGTACACGTAATTAACCTACATCATAATTGCATGGCAAATCGCGAGTAAGAACGATCCGAGCAGGGTCAATTATTATCGAAACGACACACACTACATTCGATCCGACTTTAGCTTCCAATCTAATATCTGGGAAAGGTAAATCGCAAATGTTTCCTACAGTGTCATTTCTGCAGTTACGTAAAAACAAAGATTGAATTGCTTTTATTACATCAATGCGGTTAGCGTTATTGATAGCGTCCAGATAGAATAGGAAGAAAGAGAAGAAACTGGAAAGTGAAAGAGCAACGTAACGATAGTAATTTGTTAGATAACTCTTTTGAATACTTCAGAATTTTGCAATTAGTAAATAAAAGGATAATAGCAAATAGCAGGTTTAATACGCATTTTACGACGGGCTAAAGAAAATCCATTAAGTTATTACTACCTCGCTTTAAGAATTGTAAATTTAATAATTTCATGCTTTAGTACTTAAAACGTAGTCTTTATTATTTAATATTTCATAAGCTGTTGCATTTCTACTCCAATATTCTATATAGGTGAAAGACAGTCTTATTTTTTATTTATAGAAAAATAGAAATTTTCCCCCTTTTGATCCTTTATAATTATTCAATTAAAACAGATTCGTGAAGCCAATTATTGATGATTATCAGATCAATTAAAATTCCAACTAGGCGCGTAAGTAGATTCAGACAGCAGTGGTCAGACCATACAAAATACAAGAAGAATTAATTCTTTTTTCATTAAAATTTTGTTGAAATTATTTTGTTAGATCTCTCTGAACAGTGGTGTGCAAAGTATGAAGCAGGCTGTTTAAAGCGATCAGCTGTGTGTACATGTGCCAAGATGAGGATCGCCTAAGGCAATAACGAGAAGGGGTCTAACACGCTCTAAGGACACGCGCGTGTCCCCAGCGCGTGTACGTCGTCGCAAACTAGAAGTCCGATAAGTTTACGTGGACATCGAACCGCCTGGAGCAGTTGTTCTATGCAAATTTCCCTGTTTCTAGTCGATCGACCGCGCGTTTCTCTAAACCGCGCCGTGGCACGTGAAAATCTTGAAGACACTCGGTGGACCATAAGAATCCAAATTCCTTTTTTACATATCAAATGAATCGTGTCGGTTGATTATTTTGTCAGGTTACCAGTATCGATCAGTGAAATTACGACAGAAGCTGTCGTTATGTGTTAAGCGGATTTTTATGGAAATGTAGGGTTAATTAAGGTTCGTTGAAGGATCGAAGGCTTTCATTTATTCTCCGATGTTTTCCGGGGTCACCCTTCAAGGTAATTGATAAAACGATTAACCCAGGTGGCCAATTATGATACTTGAATTTCGAAAGCTTGAATCGATGCAAAAGTATACACAGAATAGAGATTCTAAATGATCTGGCAATATTTTCAAAAGAATGAAAAAAATTGTTAAAAGGAAATTAATATCGAAAGGGAAGCCTGAGGCCCTAAGTTGCCCACAGGAGGATTGAAACAACCCTCTGTTACTATCATTAAAAAACTTATAGTCATTGCAAATAATTCAAATTTAGGTGGTGCATATATGCACGGTTCATGCAGTCTCGTTGGAATCGTTTCAGGGCACTTGTGTACAAGAAAGCCTTGTCTCGCCGACTGGTACTTACTCGAAGAACACTGAGGACACTGATAGCTCGGGGCCATTGCTGATGCAAATTCGAAAATGCCTCATTTTCTTTCGCGAATAGTATTATTTAAAATGCCTGGGGCCACGTTAATGCCAGAAGTCGGAACTTCTCTAGTACCTCTGGAACCGAGATCTTTTTTTCTCGACCAACAGGAGAATAACGTTGGTCGAAAAGTCGTCGAGAATACAGAGATGCAGATTAGTTGGATTAATATTATTACCAATGTTTTTTAACTATGCATTGCGTAACATGGATAGTATTTAAAAATTTATTTCACCACTGTAAATGGTTTATTATTTATTATTAAAATAAATATGAAGATCCAGATTTCCATTCTTGTTTTTCCCACTTACAATTTAATTATAATATCATGAATTTTATACATCTGAATACAATAGTTTCTGTCTGAACGAGTCATAAAACCAGACAGTCGTACGAAAGAGGTTGAGACAACTGTGAAGAGGCAGCATAATAATGAATACTTGTCTGGTGTTCTTGTCCTTATACCCTTATCCTTCTATATTTATGCCCCATTCGTACGAGCCTCTTATATAAATATTTATCCAAACTACTGCATCTCTACTTTGCTTCGCAAGCCAAACGAGAGGCCGGTACCTCGTGGTTTAAGGTTGCAGCTTCGATTCCGTCGTTGATTCAGCGTTTTTTGTCCAACGTTCGAGTTTAATTAGCGGCAAGATTTTAATCGAGCATGTCTTTTACCAAGCTCCAGGCTAGGAGGCATCCAACATTTTAATCGCATCCTTAAAGGAAATCTCAATTTACACTCGATTTACATCGATTTG